GAGAGAGAGATAGTATGAGAGAGAGAGAGAGAGAGAGAGAGGCACATAAAGTAGGCACTAATGTAAATAACGAGAAAAAAATCAAACTTATTTCACATATGATGTAGGGGTGCCACATATTTATATTGTGGCCTTTCAAATGTTTGGATTGTGTTTTTTTGGGTTTTTTTGGTTTTATTTTCAGGGTTTTTAAAGTTTTTTAAGGGATTTTAAGGTTCATTTTAGTTTTCTAGGATTTTTAGGGGCTACTTGGAAAAGTAGTTAGAATCCTCATGGAAGCATCACTTCTATTAAAGATAAAAGTATCATTATGAGTTTTGTTTTAATTAGGACTTCATTTCAATTGGAATTAGGATTTTTTGCATTTTCAATACGTTCTATAATAAATTGGGAATCTTGTAGAAGGTTTAGTAGTAGAGTTGGATATTATCTATTTTAGAGTCCTAATTTCACCGGATAGCTATGAATGTTGGCTTATAAGCTTCCACTATTATTTTCAAATTAATTTTTGTTTCTACCGATTGGTGTAAGAGCAATCTTGTTCCCAAACTGCCCCAAGATACCCTGCAAGTCTGCATGACTGGTTACTAGAGGAGGCCGAGTTTGTGCTTGTGGCTGTAACAAAGTTAAACGGAAGGAAATTAAAGATTTAAAAAGAAGACTTGAGGAATTGGTGTATGAGAAATGTCAGAAACGTTTGGATCGAAAAAGATTCAAGGATCTAGTGCATGAGGTGTCCCCAACCTACTTCGATTGACATTCAATCGTTCATGACAAGGTCAAATATGAATACTATAATTTTGAGTTTAGGGATAAGAATCCTTTCCATGCCCATCGAAGGATGATGCTTTGCTTCAGAACCAAGGGAGAAATGAAGATCTTTCCCATGACGATCTTTGATGATGAAGAAGAAGAGCCCCATGAGAAAACTTTGATTGCAGGAAGGTCTTCATTCCAGCTTTCATCACCCTTTTTGATTCCCTAGTTCGTTTGATCTATAATGAAAAACGAGATCTTGTGGGTGAGCCAATTTTTTATGGACTTTTGGAATAAGTAAAGGAGACCTTATCATGGGGATAGTAAGGAGAGAATATATTTCAAATAGGATGAAGAAACCCTAGATGGCGAGGTCAACCAGGAAACCTTGGGTTCTCTATCTTCTGGGGAAGCCATGAACAGAAATCTAGGGGGGTTGATGCATTTATGCAGGCCGCGGTTGACTTTGATTTTGATGAAGAACAAGTCATGAATGCTAGGTGTTCAAGATTGGTTAGAACTCCTAAAGTTACACAGGGCGATGACGAGAGAATTTCTGTGAGGGATGGACAATCTGGAGAGGAAGAGAATTCAGTTCGTAGTAGCGGGAAAGAAAAAGAAAAACCTGACATTTTCATGGCCCACAGGTCCCAAGATCATGTGTACAATATGCAGATTAAACAAGACTTAGTATCAATTTTTCAACATGCATATCAAGATCCATTTCTCGAGAACTTCTTACACAAATAATCTTAAAGCTAGAAAGAAGGAAAAGGTTAGAAAAAGGTTAGAAGAACTCATCGTACCCGAATGGTTGGAATAAGGCTCAGATGATGATGATGAAGAAGAATTCATACTCGCCCACTTTAAAACCCGAGGGCAAGTTTTCTCCAACCAAGGGAGTTTGATGAAGGACAAAATGCATTGTATTCGCAATTTTTTCTTATTAGATTTTAGGGATGCATTTTTGGGGATTCTTTAGTGTTTCTTTTCAGGATTTTTAAGTTTTTAAGGGATTTTAAATTTTTTCTTTTTTTTTTAGGATTTCTACATGCTATTTGGAAACATACTTTGATTTCTTATTGAATTATTTCTTTTATTAGGGGTACAAGCGTGACTATAAATCATGATTTAATTAGGACTTCCAAGTGAATTAGAATTAAAATTTCATGGGTTATAGGCAAGGTCTTTATTATAAATAAGAGTTCTTCTAGAGGGTTTAGTAGCAGAGTTGGATATTATTTGTTTAAGAGTCTTGGTTTCACCAAAGAGCTATGAAGCTTGGCTTGTAAGTTTCCACTACTTTTTTTGCAATTGAATTTTCAGGTCCTTGTTTCTTTTCATGAATTTCCTTCTACATTAGCATACACAAGAGAGAGAGAGAGAGCTCACTGCTGCATAAAGAGTAGACAGTAAAGCATAGATAATGTTGACCAATTATACAGGGGAACAATGAAAAAGGGCCTAACTCGGTGCTGGTCCCGCGTACGCAGGGTCCCGGGAGGGGTGAGCTGGAAATGGTCCTAACCTTTGGCTTTTTATGCACAAACTGGTCGCTCTCAGGACTCCAACCCACGCTCTTGCGCTGGCTACCCGAGCCTTTTACCATCACACCAAGTGACAGCCCCTAGAGGGAAACAATCTAAGTTGCAAGTCAAATGCAGTACATGATGAATGAACAATGCCTAGAAGGAGTATTCATGAGAAACAAGAGAAAAATTAATCTACCCAAGATAAGTCGCATCCAAGATAACACAGATCAGTAAATAAGAAGCTACAATGAAAAACACTAAAAAACTTTTTATAGATCTCAAGTACGTGGTTGCTGGGATCTCCCAACCTATATAGCAATCTCGCTCCAGAATCGTGCACTGGCACTCCAGTAAAGGGATCTCAATTTTAAAATTTTAGGATCTTAATGCCTACTGTTAGGAGATCTTTGTCACCCCTTAGAGATCAAGATAACAACCAAACTTATTATTTTCTTTATTTATAGCCAGCTAGCAATGCAACCATACTTTTAATATAGTAGCATTGCTAGTTGGCCATAAATAAAGATATCCATGTATAAAACAATATATATAATCCTAGACTTATATATATTCTTTAAGGTTGGGAGCATAGTTACCCAAATTTCTCACCGAAGGTCCCAGAGTATGATTTGAGGATTCCACGATTCCGACAAGGAAACTCCACATAATTTCTTTTCGTGGGGTGGAATCTTGTTTCTTTATTCTAGTAATCTCGATTCTAAAACTCATAGAATCTCATTTCCAATATTTACTAATTCTTGATCCCATAATTGATGAATCACGATTCTACACATGTAGAACCTGGTTACCACATATAAGGGTACTTGATTCGATTGTTTTCGAATTCAAATTCTTGAACATCAAGTGCATGGTTCAGAGATGCACGAGACAACAAACTAATCAAACATCGAATCTTAAGTTGTTAACAAGTTTCATTCCATCGCCTTTTACAGGACAATGGCAAGTAAAACTTCTTTTACAGGTAGAATTAAGTTGTTAACAAGTTTTATTCCCTGTCTTTTGAGACTTATTTGATCCATGAAGCTCAAATAGTCCGTGATGAGACTCCCCCAAGTTACAACTACCACACAGAGACTTAGGGCAATCATTTATGTGTATTTTCCATACATATAGTTGTGGTATATACGTGAGTTTAGGACCGTCCGTTTTTACTGGCAAAACGTAATTAGATAATGGAGTTGATATTTTTCAAATATTAATATTTATTGACAAACAACATTTTATCAATGGATGGATGAAGACACGGTTCTTACTATTACCTTTAATACGAGTAATAATCCTATGGGTCCCTGCCACACCTAATGGCATGGGACCCAAAGGATCACGGTTGGATCTCAATTTGAATCTCACCAACAAACTTGCTCCCCAAGACAGCTTTCACCTAGATTCACCCCAAGAGTATCTCCATCAACTCCTTCTGTCAGACAGAAGCTCCTCACTGCTGAGCAGAGGGGCAGAAAAAGGAAGACACTGTAGATACCCCATTCCCCCCCCCCCCTTTCTTTGGGCAATGTTCCCATTAGTATCCAATGGAAGTCGTGAAGGCATGGTATCTTTGCAATTTTATTACCTGCAGTATGCGATCTTCAGATCTCTTTTGCTGTCTATCTATGTGTGCTATTTTTTAATTCAAGCAATGAGTATTCCCATAAGAACTTCTAATTATGTCACTATCTATGTGTTAGCTTGATGCTTGATTATGAAATGGTTATAAATCTTGATTGCCAAATGTGTCGAAACTCGAATTCAAATTGCTATAAATCTCAATTCCATCCTGGGACAAAAATTGAATCCAAAAAAATATTAATCTCGTTTCTAATCTGGTATGAATCAAGATTCCAAATGTCTAACAATTCCGATTTGAAAGAAGTTAGAATCTCGATTCCATATTGGTTGATTTCAACTAGGTTGGAAACTCTTTTCCAAGGAGCTAGGAATCTTGATTCCATCTATGTAGGGTTGTCGATTACATTTTGGTCGAATCACAATTTCTAAAAATACAAATCTCGTCCCCCAGGATTCCTCTTGTACAGATGTCCATTTTGAAAACAGGAATCTTCTAGTTGGCGGTAATTCCATGATTCCAATTCCTATATCGATTCGGATTCAGAATCAATTTGGGTAACTATGGTTGGTAGCAGAATCCCTAAAAGAATGGTATCGAGATCCCAAAAGGTCCTGATCAAGATCTAAAAAGGTTGGGATAGAGATCCCTAACATTCGGAGATCTCGATCCCCAACATATGCATTACACAAACAATACTCCCAACCATAGGGATCTTCTAGCCGTTCATGATCCTCCTCTACCGATCCCGATCCCGATCCACTCCCAAACCCACTCCCGATCCCAACAACTATGATCAAGTATGACATAAACAAAAATGCAGAAGAATACTCCTCCATGTTAAAATGCAGCTTAAATTATGTGAAAGCATGTTCTCAACATCGGAATGGATAAAGCAATGAAGGGCGCAAAAAGTGAATCACCCAGAATATAGAAAAGGTACTTAGCAAAACAGGCAATTAATAACACTCTAGAACTTACCTAAAGGGAAAGAAGCACTAAAAGGGAAGGAAGAGAAAATTTATTTAGCTAGGCACGCAGATAGCTTTTAGCCCAACCATGTTAAAATAGCCAATTATTTATGAGTTGACAAGAAATTGTTTACATCAAAACAAACAATTTATTTAGTACACCCTGGGGCTCATTTAGCAATTGTTCTCTTCCATTTAAGTTGATAAGATGTCTTATTTATGAAAAACTGTGTGGCTATAGCTTTGCTCCCGTTATGTACAGATCTTTTTCACTTCCTAAAGTTTCATGAAGCACACTAATGATGTGACATGGCAATTCATTCCACACATCGCAAAGAAGGTTGATGAAGCATGCTTATTAATATGGTAAATCACTTCATGAAATAGCTGATCGTAGTGAAAGTTATACTCAAGAAATATCATTCTCTGCTACAACAGAATATCAAAAAAGATTTTTTTTACTTACCCAGAAAAAGGAATATCAGAGAGGTATTAGCTCTAGATCACACAAAACATTTACCATAAAGCACCAACAAATTGCAATAGAAATAACAAAAAATTTATATCAATGGACATGTTGAGATGTCCTAGAAATGAAGTGTACAAGTTAGTAACATGCGTATCCCACAGAAGAAATATTAGAGAGAGATGTTACAACTTTGAGAGGTGCGGATGGACAATCAGGTTCAATATTCAGAATAGGAAGCAACAGAGAGGTGCAAAGGTACGAGAAACACAAAGCATGACAGGAAGAATGAACTTATATAAGAAGCAAGCATTGACAAAATCACCAGAAGTACAAATTACCAAGAAATTAAAATGAATTGAGAAAAAGACAACTAAGACAATTGGGAGGGCACCATAAACACCTAAAGGGAATGCTTCCCTAATAGCATGACACAGAAAATGACAATGGAGAGGAAGAATTCAGGACATATGAGCATGTGAGAGCTCAGAAACCCCCTGCCTCTCATCTTAACAAGAAAACTAGAAGACACAAATCAGCTGATAGTTATGTGGGCATCTCTCTCTCTCACACATACACAGAGTGGTGGACTTGCCAGCAAGGCTTGTGACCCAGGACAGAGTGAAAAGAATCATATGATCAAACAGGGTAATCTTGAATTGACTTGGTAGTGACACTGTACCAGCTATACTAGATCATAAGATCAAGGAATTAATAACCATATTAGGTATGTGTGTTCTCAAGCAATACTAGTGTATGATCAAATATTGATGACTAATACAAGATCAGGCATTACATTTCCAGAAAAAAAGGCATGCTATGTTCATTCGAGTTTTCATATTCTATAATACTAACGTAAGATATCTTGTTCGAGGCATTGTATTAGTGAAATATCTGATTGAGACTGCAGCACACAATATTATACAAGGAAAACTTATATGTGGCACCACTCACATATAAAACATATGTAACCCCTATTTCCAGCCGTCCAATTTGAATGGATAGTTTGGACAACTTCAGGCATAATGTCACATGCTAGCTTTTGAGTGTCTAATCTTGATAAGACGAATCAGAGTATTTTATTTTTCATTTTTATTCTATTAACCATCTTGTAGTGAAATTTGGCGCTTGCCCACCTCTCATAGGGGTACACCTATAAAAATAAGAAGAAAAAAAAATTGGTAAAAGAAAAAACCAAAATACCTCTACAAGTCCAAGGGCATATCAGTTATTTTTTAATCAGAAAATTTTTTGGCTAGTTGCGCCCCAGTAAGGCTACGGCAAGTCCAAAATTTTGTGGAAAATTGATTTATAGAAAATAATAATAATAAAACAGTATTTAGGTATGACATTATCACTGAAGCCATCTAGCTATCCATTCAGATCAGACAGCTGGAAATAGGGGTCACATATGTTTTGTATGCGTGTGGCACCACATATAAAATTTTCCCTATTATATAATACAATGTTATTACATGAGTAGATCACTCTGCATCGAACATAATTCTGTCACTAATTTCATAAAAAATAGTCACCATTGTTTTTGCAAAAAACTATAATTTTCTGTCATATAGATACAAATCTTTAGGGGGAAGAACTGCGTAAGAATAGGCATCTTTTTGAAAAAAATGAAATCCTGACTATCATTCACTCAAGAACCATGATTTAATCAGAAGATATGGAATACATCACAATATAAGTTGATAGAGAACTCCCATATCCAACCTGTACCAGCACGACATGCAACCACTCTAGAATCTCCCACATTTGCAACAAATAGGCGATCGCCCAACAAGACAGCTGTTGACGCAGTTGAACCAGCATCTCTTTGATAATCTTTTTCTTCTTTAAGGTAATCATTATCTGTTTTCTTAAAGGCTTCAACTGCAACAATATTTTACAGTAGTTTTCACCACAAACCAAAAATATAAATCTCAACATGTTAACAGTCATTAGCACTACATTGTTACATACTGATAGCTGATTTTGTGTTGGAAACAAAATCTGGATGGCTGATTAAGTTATTGAAGAGGTTTTGTTTGATGTATTCTGCAGCTCGTGAACCTCCATGACCTAGATTGGAGAAGAATATCCATGCAAGCAATACACGTCAAATTTAAGCTCAGCTTATTCTAGGTTCAAAAGCAAGCACAAGCTAAGCCTGTCATCTTCATACAAGTTAAAATTTACAAGGGAATTGCAAGTTAAAGCATACCATCATAAACAGCAAAATATGCAACCATCTGACCATTAACCTCAGCAACCCTTGTTTCGTAAAAGTCCTCCATTGATGGCCTTTTTCCCTTAAAACTAGAGTAGCCATAACTAAAGAAAAAAAAACAAAAAACAAAGATATTATAACGTATAACGATCCATATAGGAGACATAACACAAGAATTCACAAAAACTCCAACAAACTAATATAGTCAATGCTTTTAAATTTTGCCATAACATCACTTGTTCTTCTATTAAAACTAAAAAAGTTTCATGGATAAAATACAAACTTACTATGGTCAGGGGTTTAGAAATGTCCCATGTAGAAAATCATGTTTCATGTTTCAGACTTCTATGGCGGATGAAGATACAGGGTTTCAATTTTTTAGAACCCAGAACTTCCTAAAGCTAATTTCTTATAGCACTCTTCCTGTCAACAAACAAGGAACTAGGAAGTGCTACAGAAAACTGGAACTCTCCAGCTTCTAGAGTTGGAAGTTTTAGTTATTGAATGTGCCCCTAGCTCCCTAGAAGCTGGAAGAGTTAATATTTGGAAGTGCTGGAATACTCGTTTGATAACCTGTCCGGAAGTGCTCAAATCAGAGAACGAGCTTCACATTGATCTACTAAAGCTTCACAGATATTAGGCTTAACAGAGAGGGAGATAGATATACACGAGGGAAAGAGGGGGACATGGTTAAAGAGGACTTCGAGAAAGAGATAAGAGGAAATGCTGACATGGCTAGAGAGAGTGCACATCTAGGGCATTTGATGGGAGGGGTCTTCCATAGACCCCTCTTGCACAAATCGTGGAACGCGTCCATACCGCAGCATGTAAGCCATGGCTTCCAAAAACACACCCATTTTAATTGGAGCATGGAATGCTGCTCTTCCATTTTTCAGCTTCCACACTCCCAAAACAAACATGGGACCCTAAACAGGTGGAACTTGGGTTTTTCACTCCCAAAAAGTTCCACCAATCGACGCGCCCTTAGAGACATAAAAGATTAGAGAAACAAAGAACACGATTAGGGAGAGGACTTATAGAGAGAAAAATATCACAGTTAAATTGAGAAAGGAGCTAAAAAGAGAAGGGGCACGTCTAGAGAGAAATGACACGGTTAGAGCGATAGGATTTATAGAGAGAGAATGAAGTTAGGGAGAAAATAGCATTCTTAGAGAGGAGTTAGGAAGGGAAAGCATGGCTAGAGAAAGGATTTAGAGATAGAAAGAGCATGGTAGAGAAAGGACTTAGGGAGAGTTAGAGCGAGAAGCCACAGTTAGAGAGAGGGGGGATTTAGAGAAAGGATACAAGAGAGAAAAAGGACACGATTAGAGAGAGAAACGGTATGATTAGAGAGTTAGGGAGAGAAAAGAGTTAGAGAGAAAAAGGACACGATTAGAGAGAGAAAGGGTATGATTAGAGAGTTAGGGAGAGAAAAGAGTTAGAGAGAAAAAGGTGTTAAGAGAGAAAGGGCATAGTGGAGGGAGAGAGGAGTCAGAGAGAGAAATTGCATGGATAGGGGAGATGATTTAAGGAGACAACATGCATGGCTAGACAAAGGAAGGAGTTGGAGAGAGTTAAAAGAGAGACAGAAAGGACGAGGAAGCAAAAAAGGCAAGATGCAAACTTCCTAAAGAATAAGATAAGCGAACTTCCATGGGTGGATGGAAGTTGCAGATTCTCAATTCTGGACAATCCAAAACTTCCTAAAACCAGTTTTCTGCAGCACTTACAATCAACAAAAAATGAAGTGTTATAGTAAACTGAAACTTCCAGATTCAAAAACTAGAAGTTAGAGCTATCAAGTATGCTCTAACGTAAAGTAAATAACAATATGTGGAAATTGTACAACCAAATTATATATATATATATATATATATATAAGGTTTAGAATCTAAAGCAAGGTTAGGATAGAAATCACTAACATAATTTAAACAACCTAGGAACCTTTGAAGTTCCTTTTTATCAAGTATTTGATCAGGGAATTTATCAGCGAATTGTATGGATCTATCGATGGGTATGATAGTTCCATGATGAATCATATGTCTTAGAAATCTTATATTGGTTTTGAATAGTGTTATCTTTTTGGCTGAAACAACTAATCCAGCATTCTGGACTGCATGTATAAATGTGTTAATGTGTTTGATATCTTGATCTATCGATTCCGAGAATATTAGTACATCATCAATATATACTATCATAAAATGATGGTAAGCATTAAAAACATCATTCATTATTTTCTGGAATTCTGATGGAGCATTTTTCAAACCAAATGGCATAACATTCCATTCGTATTGTCCAAATGGAACATTAAATGCAGTCTTATATTTATCTTGTTCTTGGATTTGTATTTGCCAATAACCAGATTTCATATCAAATTTGGAAAAGATACATGCTTGAGCAACTCTATCTAATAAATCTTTTTTATTAGGGATTGGATATCTTATCAATTTTAAGACTTTATTCAAAGGTTTATAATTAATAACAAGTCTAAGAACTCCTCGTTCCTTTTCAGCATTTTTATTGACATAAAAGGCTGCACAGCTCCAAAGTGAGGAGCTTGGTCTTATTAATTTTTTCTGCTGGAGATCATTAATCTCTTTTCGGCACATATCTAATAGGATAGTATTCATTTGTATTGGTCTAGCTTTTGTAGGTATTTGTTTTTTATCAAATCCTTGTTCATATGGTAAACTTATACTATGCTTTTTCCTTTCCCAAAAAGCATAGGATGCTCACTACATATTGAAGTTTCTATATGTTGTTGTAATGCTTGAATCTTTTGTTGTATTGAAGAAGTTTGTAATTGTTCTTCAATAGCCTTATATTTAATTTCTTGTTTAAGGGTACAAAGAAATTTTTCTTTGTTATTTAATTGACTTTTGACACTATTAAGTTCTTTTAATTTTGGTTTATGTATGAAATTAAAGTGTATTGTAATATTTTGAATAACTGAAGATATTCCTGTTTCTTTTATGGTTAAAGGATATAATAAAGTAAGAAATGGCACTCCAAGTATTACTGCTTGGCTTAACCCTTTTACCATTATGAATGGTGTATCTATACATTGGTGATTATTACAAACAGAAGCATTAGATAATTTATATTTAATAAATAATCTACTTCCATCTACTGTATTTAATATTTGAGTAGTTTTGTCAAAATATTTTGAAGGTACGAGTCCTTCATTGATACAATTTAAGTCAGCTCCAGAATCTATTAAAGCTGATGTTTCAAAACTATAATCTTGAGCAACTATTATTTTTACATAGACAAACCATTTTTGAACTACTATTTTGTCTATTAGATTCACAGAAGGAAGAGGTATTATTTTGGCTTCTGATGATTCAGGGATATCTAATAATGGATTAATTTTCATTAATTCATCAAAGTTTATTTCTTCTGTATCTGAATCTTGTTGAGACATTTGTTGTAATTCTAATGATTTAATTCTATTTTTTAGTTGAACTGTTTCAGTCTTTATTTCTTTGATTTCTTGTTTGAGATCTGAAATGGTTGGCTCTTTTTGTTGAGACGTGTGTTGATCACTTACTCTTTTCATTATTGAAGCAAAGTTATATTCATCAGGGGTTTTATTCAAAGGAATTGGTTTTGCTTTATTTTTTGTAATATTAATAAATTGAGTAATGACAGCTCTTTTTTCATTTGGATCAACAATTTTATCAATAATGTCTAGAATGAAATTATCTTCTTGTGTAAGTGTGTGAACATTATGTGTTGATATTGGACAACTACAATCATCATCCTTTGAGCTGGATGAATTTGTATCTGAATCATTAGTGGAGTCAGAAGAGTCTGTCCACATGAGATCATCATCTTGGATTTGATCGATATGAGAGTCAGAAGAAGTAGAAGACGAGGAATCATAATTGAATATGTTATATAATTTAGATTTTATTGATTCATCTAAATTTAATGATTCTATTTTCTTTTTTAATTTACACTGATGTTTATAATGTCCTACTTTACCACACTTATAACATACGGGCAACTTTCTCTTTTTCTTTGTATTGGGAGAAAATTTATTGATTAATTTTCTTTTAGATTTTTTATAATATTTCCTATCTGTATCCTTATTTTTGGATTTATATTTTTCTTTTTTGTATTTCTTCTTTTTCTTGTATAGATTGTCAGGCATATTTTTCTTATCAAGGTAATAACCAAATTGTTCACAGAAGTCACCAAGCTCTTTTCGCTTAGTGATTTTTTGTTTATCTAATTGTCTTTTTAATTTCATATCTGTGCATAAGGCTAAACCTTCAGCACATATTTCTGCGGAGAGTTCTCCGAGGGTATATGATGAATAGACAATAATTCCATTATGTTTTTCCTTAGCCTTTCCTTGACTTTTTCAGCAAATAAATATGGTAGACCAGCTATAAACTTCTCTTTCCAGTGGTCCAGCTGACAGTCTTCTCTTATTAATAATCTTGAAAAAAATACATCTTTATACCACTTATAATGTGATAGGGTAGGACAGCATAGATTAGATAGCAGATCTTCCGATCTTGCTGCTAGTAAAGATGTACTGCCTACAAAATGAAGTGTAATGGTATATATTAGAGTGTTGACAGCATCACTCTCTGTGTATATTATTTCTTGGTTTTGTTCATTTCTGGCGGTCCATTGCCTAGTATTAGTGAGGATTCTTTGTTTGGTTTTGTCATCTACATAGAAATCCCACCATCCTCGTAGCCAGCCAGTAAATCTGTTGACTATTGCTTTTGCAACTTCTTGGTCAGGGTTGCCTGCCATTTTATTTGCAGAAGCATACATAGTCATATGCCTCATAACATCCAATATTTTTAATTCTGATAATCCATCTATTTGCCAATT